AGTCATCACATACCATGGGGAAAGAATTCATAACTTACAGGGTGTATATAAGGAAGAGGCTTCTTAATAGGTGAGGGGGTTGGAGAACGGGAAGTGTGAGATGGTCGCAAGAACCACTTGCATCCCTTTATATGTCGTGGGCGATGAATGAAGGCCACAGGGCTGCGGTCCGATACAAGACAACCAACAAAGCACAGTGACGGCCAAAGAGTCTGACAAAGGCTGAAGAGAAAACCATTGCTAGAGCTCTTTTGCTGAGCTCCGACCCCCTGTGGACAATATCACTCACTGCTAAAGAGATGCACACATGTGAATTGCAAGGTAACCAGGCGAAGAATTTCCTTGTACAAAGTTTGAAAGATCCGGTGAATTCCAAAAATTTCAGAGCCGAACATTGAATAAAAAGGTTCCGGGATCTTGCACTTGGTCTTGTTATCGAAACACAAGACAGTTGAACGGTCGAAGCACCGGCAGTGGGTGAATAGGAACATTACATTTAGATCCCAATTTCAAAGAAGGAGACTTTGTTGTTGCTGTCTCCGTCTTTTTGTAAAGGTGGCGGGTCGACGATGTCGATGCTGGCCTACAGAAAAAGACGTTTGGCTCTAGAGAATGCCTAGCTAGTCAGCATAAAAGTTTCAGCATTAGTGCTTACAGAACATTGACTATCATTGAAGCCATTGTGGCTGCACGGACAGATTTCAATGAGTTGCTGTCAGAGGTGCGCCTCAGAGGACCACAGTCGCTTGGCATCGAGTCCATAATGCGGTTCCGAGTACATGCTGGGTATGCCGTCTCTCAGCTCCTTCTCTGTTACACTGCAAGGCCTCGGAAGGGCTATAACATCTCAGGCCGCAATGAAGAGCATTAGGAAACAGAACAATTTGACAGGAAATAGAAGAGAATATTGGTGCAATTCAATGTAATGCTCATATCCTTTCAGCACAAAAGACTCACGGATAGACTCACAAACTTCACTCGCAGAACTTCAAGGCATCTCTTCTGCATTTCTGCTGGTCAAAGGTGCATTATATATTACCTCTTGCTCAATACAGTGTATTCAATGACCAACAGGGCAATTAATTGGACCACCTCAGATCATCTTGAAATAATGTTTTGTATTCCTTGGATACCATTGCCAAGATCACAGCATTGACACTGGCAGCTGTGGTGATGGTTTGGCCTTGGATCAGGATCTCCCTCTCAAGGAGTCCCAAACACAATCAGAATGTATTGACTCAATTTTGATAACATTCTAGGTTTGTATCAGATTGGTAAGTATAAAGACTCCCACTATGTGGTGCTGTGCATCTTGTAGCAATGCAATAATTAGTATAACACCCAGGGATAGAGAAGTTAGGGACTGACCCAGATAAAAACCTTTACAATCTACATTTAAGGCAAGCCTGAGTGGAGCCAGGACTTCAACCAATCTGTATATCTGTTGGCTGATGTTCCTATCACCCTTTCCAGAAATTGAGGGCTTTTTGAAATTGGAGAACAACACTGGGGAACAAAGATGGATGAAGACATCCAGAATGTCACATCCTTCCCTAAGTGTGAGTCCAGTTCTTGGATCTCAGGACCTTGTTTGCTAGGCAGAATTACATGTGCATCCATGGTGCTGGTGATAGAACAATTGTCAATTTCAAGTTCTTGTAAATGTGAAAATGCACAAATAAGAGAATGGAGGTCATCCACATGGAGAGAGGTGTCTGTCAAGGTCAGTTGAGTAATGTTAGGGAACATGATGATGGAGGCATGCAATCAGTGGCAGGATGGAAACTCAGACCATTTCACTTCATTGAGGAAGAGCATGTGGATGTCCCCATGTTGGGTGACAGCCACTAGAAGTATGGAGAGAAACAGGTCACAGAGGTTGTTGTGTGGGCCTAGGCATTCAATGCTGATGTAGAAGAAGTTGGGTGTGAGGACAGCTTCAAAGGAGGGTGCATTGAGAAGACAGCTATAGAGATCACTGCAGGTGTAGAGGTCACCAAAGTTCAGGCTGAGTGTGTTGTAGGGGAGATACTGTAGTATATCATTAATGTTAGACATTTTCAGGAGACTGGAAAGCATTTGGAAGTTCATAGGAGATGTCAAAGATTTGTGGCTTACTTTGCCATATTTTATCTTCTTCTGAATAGCTGGAATGGGAAGGGGGAGAAAAATTGCTGTAGGTATGACTGAACAGGAATAGCATTTCTTATAGTGGTCTGTATTATGGTGAACCCATCTTGAAAACAAAAGGAAGCAAGAATTGATATTGGCCAAAAACTACAATGCTGGTTTTTTGATGAAAACACAGGAATGAAAATCTGTGGTCCTAGTTACATGTCTTAAGCATGGAAATATGAGATTTGGCATTTCCATCTATTGTGGTACTCAGGCTGATGCCAACTGTTCTCTGCCCTGATCTGTGTGCCAGTGATAACCATGAAATAAAAATCATCCCTATAAGCATATGAGTACAAGTTGTTTGGATGTAAGAGAAAGACCCATCTGAAATGCATATAGGACACTTCATGTTTGAAGAGGGGATTCTCTTGTGGAAGGGTCATACTCCAAAGGGCATTCGATCTCTCTTGGTCAAGTTCCAAAGCTAAGCATTGCCAATGACTGCAACACTATCATGCTTGGAGATACATCTGTGGTGATGTCAGCAGTGACATATACAGGATCATCAGATGGATGAACTATTTAGCATGCAAGGTCTGACTAGCAAAGATTAGTCTGGCTCATGGTACAAGTAGGTTTCATAAGAAGACATCTAAATGATATGAATCCAGATCTGGAAGGTATCAATGAATGAGTGCCTGCTCTAATTGTGAACTTGAGTATGGTAACAGAGGAGGAAAGGAAAGCAATAGACACATTGAACCAAGAAAACACACAATCAAGACCATCTTCTCTATTGCCTATCACATCAACATGGTCTGTGCAAGAAGTACACATAGCAGAATACACAGCATAAAGAACTGTTCATGATATTACCACTGGCAATGACAAAACTAGCAGTTGAAGAGTCTGTCCCAACTCTTATATTTCATCATGTCAAGCAGCTCATGAGCAGATAGAACACACAAGGGATCTGTCATGTGACTTTTAGATATACTCAGGACAAGGTTGACTTAACTCCCACTGAAGACCTAGAATCATATTCTATTCTGACACTGCATGGTGTCAGTGTGATGGAGATGAGATTGTGCTTTTATTGTTTGGATGCTGACCAGGCAATTGTACTATTTGTCACACTCCTTGATCTTAACAGAATGAGTAATACTGTGCCAGCACAGTGTTGGGACTGCAGTGTCTTAGAGACTGAGAGAGATGTGAAGCTCCACATGATGATGGAGGAGATCAAGGAGGCATGTGTGCAGATTAGAAACTGACACTCTCAAGTTTATAGGCCATAATATTGAATGTATGTATATTATCTTTCATATCATGAAGAATGCTGCTATAATAGAGATGCAATATTCAACTAAGATCAAGATCCATATTTCTCTTCGGAGTAATCACTATCTTCAACAATTCGACATCTATAGCACAACTAGAATACTCTTTTCCAAACAGGTCTCTCTCTGCCTGTTGTATTCAGCTACATATCACTCAAAATATGGTACTCCAAAGCTTTCAAGTAAACAGCATCTGAACCATTCATCTCTGTTGATTCTTGGCATGCACAAGCACTGGCATTCAAGCTAAGATGACTACAGTGGAAATTATGATAACTACAAGGACTATGACCACAAAGATTATGATAAGAACTGCATACAGTTGATGCACCAGAACTCAAGGTCTCTTATGGGCATGCTTATAACAGAACAATATACTATATCAAAACTATACATAATACAAATGATGCTCATCCTCAATGTAAATCACAAAGACAGACCCTGATACACATCTATTGTAGCATCAGAAGTATCTGCATTGATGATACAGATTATTCAGTCAAAATACCAAGATCCAACTCCAATCTCATTCAATGAGATGCAATAATAGGAATTTTGGTGAATATAACAGACATTCAAAAAAGAATGGCAAGTGTGAAAGGAGAAATAAGGCAAGCATTTGAAATACACTGATGCCAGAGCTAAGTATCTGAAACAGTAGCACCTCTGCTAACAGGTCCATCTGCCCATACAGTCACATCCACCCACTCACTATCATCTGCATCCAGCTGCTCAAACTCAGCAGAAGAAAGCACATTTAGCATCTTCCATCTATCAGTATAGTATATCTCTGACATTCTATCATTGTATGCAACCAGCACACCCACAGTGAGATAGACCCTTCTATCAGCTCTAAGGTTTTCTCTATTTACAGTGACAATATTCACATCCACATCCAACTGTGGAATCAAATATACCTGCATAGCTGTCTAATCTGATCCAGTCTTGATGGTCTTATCATAGATGTAGAGCATGTAGGAGTTCTCCCTAGAAAGCATGATGATAAAAATACATGATAGAAAAGAAAAATGAGAGATATATATGAAGAGGATGACTATGCTACAAATAGCAGCTTTCTGTTATGATTTTTCCACTTTTATTCTCATTTCTGCAGTATTAACTCTTATTTATGCTTAGTCAGGGCACCTATACTAGTATCTAGGACTGTGGGACAATCTTAGTCAGCACAATCAGCCATTGTCTCTAGTTCTATAGCAATACTCTGATAATAGCACAATAACCCTTTTGTAGGCAACACTGCCTCAAGTATTATAATGCAGACTCTCACAATTGGACAACACTGCCTCATCAAGACAATGAGTACTATAGCATAGATGCTTATAATTAGTAGTAGTATATTTAGCTACTGACTTAGAGATATATAAGTAGCATAGACAGCACCATGTATTCCTAGTCTCTATTAAGAACTGTTATGATTTTTCCTATTTTTTTCTATTTTTCTTTTTCTTTCTCTCGGAAATGATCCCTATTTTGCTTAGTCAGAGTGCTTAGGCCAGCGCTTAAAACCATGGGAATGCTTAGCTCAGCAACCCAAGTTGGTCATTCTCCTGTTGCATTGCTGTGTGCTGTGAAGGGAGAGACAATACCTCTTTGATTGCCAACTGGCAGTGCAATGACCACAGCACAACAGCAAGACAACAGCTTTTGTGGAGAGCCTGGCAATGGTGGGGGGAACAGCTCTACAGCAGACAATATCTTTTGTGAATGTTTATTTATAGCACAATAACAGAACAGTATATAAGTAGTATAGCTCTCGCTGTAATACCCCAGCTTCGAGCTAAAGTTTATTCTCTACCATCCTATCTCGAGTGACTTGCAATGCCTTGACCACATACCTCTGTTAACACATCAGTAAACTCAGTTGGACATATCCAAAGTGCAAGGTACTGAACTGTTTATCATGTGTTAATAGTCATGTGGAGTTTGGGCTTAACAATTAGCTTGAAGCTTCTTGCTTCTCTTTTTCAGGCCCAACCGTGCTGAGAAACTGAATGCCCCCTGCTTTAAATCTGTCTGACCCAAACTTTACTCATGAGTTCTTTGAACTCTTGGCTTCTATCATTGGAACCTTGATCGGTCTGTTGGTGATCATACAGCTGTGCTGTGGATGCCAATCTATTACTGCCTGGGCCATCCGACACTACCAAGAATTCCAGCACATCCGTACTATCCTTCAAAATGTCACACCAGACCACCCCCTCTACAACATCCCTCCCTCTGTCTGAAACTCCATCCAACACCCCGAGGAAACAGAAGATGGGCCTAGGAGCTCGACTGAAGAATATTCTAGGGAAGAGGAGGAGCAGCAGCGGCAACACGAATACCTCTCAAGACTTGCATTGGCAATTGTCCGAGACCCTGGAAACCCTTGGGCTACAGGGTTTCGATGAATCCAACCTGACACCCCCATCCCCTCTCCCAAGTGCAGCGTCACTGCATCAAGAACAACCATCACTCAGTCTGAAATTGGGTGCTGGGCTAGAGACTCCTTGGATGCTGTTTGGATGGCTCTAAGCCCCAGAAGAGCCGACAGGCATGAACATCGACATGCCTCATCGACAAGAAGTAGTGGAAGAGAAACAAGGGTCAGTAGCCCTGACTCCTTCTTTGATGACACCAACAGGGATGAGGTCTGATACTGGCAAGAGGCATCAAGAGCAGCCAGTAGAATGGAACAGGGAAGAGCCACATGCCTACCAAGGTGTAGTCCAGTGGTATGAAACTCAATATGGCTGACCTCCCAGTCTCTTGCCGAGTTCCTCGAAGCTCCCAACTTTCCATTCCAGGAGCCAGCCTCTCCCTCCAGTGAGCCTGACCCTTAGACTGAGCCAACTAGAACTATCCATGCCAACGACTACTACCACAAGGAGCCAGCACTCCTCGATGATGACCATCTGCTATCATACAGGACTGACACCATCGCTGAAACTGACGATATTCCCATCCGGGAAAATGGGATACCGTCAGACCAGAGAACAATCAGGGGTGACGATGAGCATATTGACCCCACCGGAGACCTCAAAAGGGTCCTTGACAGGCCAATCACTGCCCTCTTTCTTCATTCCCGGTTCTACAGAAACTTCTGACGGTATTGCTGAGCAGTGGCACTGTCAGCAGAAGGAGAAGAAGAGGAGCAGCCTGACCAAGAGCCTACTCCTTGACCTGAACCCAACAATGCCGAGTCAAGTGCTCAGCCCTGATCTACATGCCCTAGCAACCTTCGGCCAGTAAGGCAGTTCCCTCCTTGAGGGGACTACCGACAAGGGAGCTGAAGGGGATGACGAGGCCGAGTGTTAAGCCCAGACTCCACGTGACTATCAACACGTGATGATAAACTGATAGAACCGTGCACTTCAGGTTAGACTATCAGAG